ACAGATGAAGTGGTAGAAGACAGAAAAAAAAAAATTCTTTGCCTGAATTCTCCATAAAAAAGCAAAGCCTGTGACCAAGGGTTAATTAAGTGTAAGTGGTTAATTTAGGAATATGATCTCAGTGGACAGGAGTTAGATGTGGGATGAGGCTGGGATAAAAGAAGAATGGTGGAAGAATCAATTAATGGATGCACTAAGTTGGCCACCACTCTGGTTGAGTACTGTTCTGTCCCTTGGGATACTTTATGAAAAGCGTCCAGGAACATCTGCCTGAGGGAAGAAAATGCTCACCTCCCATTGGCCAATGGTAGCCCTACAAGATTAACTCCCCCACCTTTAGGTTACACTGATTTTGTACCCAGCTGATTCCCAAAGGAAGTCTGCAAAGAAGCCCTAAGGCCAGAATTTAAGGTGTGAGTCTACAATGAGGCAGGGTCAGATTTCAGACAAGCTATCTGAAGTTGGTCAAAGCCCTCAGGGAACCAGTGCCCATAGCCAAAGCTGGAATCATAGGTGAGGCCAGCAGAATGGAGAGCTTTGCACAAAGTGTGTTCACAGAAACAATGAACAAACAATAGTAAATCGCATAGTAATTGAGAAAGTGACAAATGCTATTGGTAAACAAAAAATAAAATAAAGCATTTAAGGAGGTTTGTAATGGAAGGGTTGAAAAAATTAGTCTGAAACTTAGATACATTGATCAGGGTAGCCCTCATTAAGAGGAAAGTGATTGAAGCAATGACCTGAAGGAGGTGAAGGAACAAGCCACAGAGATAACTGAAACTTAAAAATAATCTGAGTACTATCAATTATTAAGAACTGTTGAATAATTTCCATCTATGATCTTTTTACTTTAGTATTTCTGGTTGAGGGGGTGGGAGGTGGATTTTAAGTGTTCATGCAAATCCATTATTAACCAAAATTTTGGTTTGGTTTTTAGGCATTCCATTAACTTCTTTCAGTTTATTCTGTTTTTGTTTCTTTCATGTCAAATAAGGGAACCTTTTATCACTCTTAATTAAGAACAACACGGTCATAATGTAAAGAATGTTTCCAACCCAGAACCTCTCCCTTGATTCCAGACCTGCAGATCTAATTGCGGGCTTAGCATCTCCATTGGCGTGTCCCATAGACATGTCAAACTTATCAAGTTCAAAATTAAACTCCTGATGTCCCCCTCACTGCAAATGTACTCATTTTACTTTTCAGGTCAGTACAATTCCATTTTTTCAAGTTTTCAGTACCATAATCTTGGTGCCATCCTTGTTTCTTTTCTTTCCTTTAATTTCCATATCTGGCTTGTTATTAAATCATTTCAAAACACATGTTTCTATATTTCAAAACAGATGCAGAATTTAGCGACTTCCTCCTAGCCAGGGGCTTGGTTTAAGCCACCATCATCCCTTACTTTTATTACCACAATCACTTCCGACTGTCTCCTTACTTCCCCGTTACTCTCCTACAGTCTGTGAAAATTTGCTTCAGATCATGTCATTCCTCACTTCAAAGGCTCCAGTGTCCTCCTGACCCATACACAAGCCAAAGTTCATCTCTGACTGCAAGGTCTTGTATGTTCTGATTACTCATTACCTCTCTGACCTCATCTCCAACTCCTTTCTTGATCCAAGCAGATACAATGCCTGCCCTTAAGCCTTTGAACTTGCTATTTTTCCTGTCTGAAATGGTCTTCCCCCAGATATTGAATAATGATGTTCTTCGGTTCCTTCAGATTTTTCTCAAATGTCATATTCTCAGTGCCCCCGACCCCACCTCCCGCTCACTCCCCACTCCTAGCCCCAGCTTGAGGACTAGCACAAATTTCCCGCCCAACACTTCCAGTTGCCCTTCTTCGCTTCACTCTCCTCCTTAGCATTTGTCACTTTCTAATACCTTCCTTATCTCTGATTTATTGTCTGCCTCCACCACTACCACATAAGCACCTGACACAGTGCCAAGCACATAATGTATGCTCAAAAAATTTTTTGCCAAATAAAAGAATAAACAAATAGTTTCAGAGACATCCATTTGCCTCCAGGATAGTTATGAAGATGACAGTAGAAATCCAGGGAAAAAGAAAACATTCAGCTTTTGACAACCAAGGTGTAATTTTTCAGCTAGTCAATAGGCTTGAATGTCAAAATATGTTAAGAAACAAAATATTTTACAAATTTCTTTAGCTCCCAATAATGTATTAAGAATAAAGTTGAGCAAATTGCATGGCAGGGTTTTATTACAAACCATGAACCCATGATTTGGCATCAGCAACTTTCTTTCAGAAAGGAGGAAAGAGCAGAAAGCCTTTCTCTTCCTGAAGAGGTGATACTGGGAAGGAAAGGAGAGGCAGAGAAAATAACCTTCCAGATGTGTATTATGATCTACCTACACCTCTCAGGCTGAAAATCATGGGAGATAGGTACTAGTTGAGTTGAAGGGAGAACTGGAAGCAGGAGCTTTGGCCCTGTCTTTCACTTTGTACTCTGGGACCAGTAGGTACCGTGAGACCATCCTCTCGCTGGGGCAGGGAGAGAAGAGTTGTAACAGTGTTGATTGAGGTAGTGGGTGGAAATGGTTAAAAAGGTAGTTACAATGAGGAAATCAGTGCGTTCCTCAAAGCAAAGAACTTCAAGGCAGGTACCAGGGAGCAAGTGAAAGACACAACTAGAACAAATAAGGGATTTGTAGTGCCATCTAAGATCAAGATAGCATGCAGTAAGAGGGCAAATAATTAGGTTCTGCCCTAGTCAATACAAATAGACCGTAATTTCCTAGCCATAGATTTCACTGATGAACACCAAGACACCCATAGATTGGATCAGACTGGATCAGACAAGTCGATGGATGTCAGCCATCAACCATTGCAAATCCAAGCCAGCACAAAACCATAATGGGGCACTCCATCCCTCCAATGAGGACCCTAAATTTCCGCTTCATCTTGATGCCCTCTTATAAAGGAGACAGGCACAGGACACATAGTCCTGACTAAAAAAAGTTGATTTTTGAATTGACCAACAGTTTATCTAATTAAATTGTTTCAACTAGAAAGAAACTATCTACACTGAAAGAAAATGATATACTTTGAATTTGCAAATTGAAGTTTTCCCCACCCCAGTTATCCTCACTGAATTATTGAGGTCTCAGATGAATTGTATCCGTTATAGGTAAATAAAAAGCCACACACATTTTTTGGGTACATCCCTGTAATAATGAATTTTCTACCCTACAAAGCAGAAGCATCATCCCTTACCTACCTGACCAGAAATTAAAATACTATGGTAGATCCAAAATGAACCTAATTAATCAATTCTTCATACGTTACTTCATACCAATAATTATAGGGACAGGATAGAATTTCAAGTCTGTCCAGAGTCTTAGAGTCTACACTTAAAGACAAGAAAAATAAGCTTTCACAGTAATGGAAATGTTGGCTCTCAGCATAATCTGGAATGTATCAAATGTAAAAATATATATGTAGAAAAAATACACACATAGTTTAGTCTCCTTTCTTCTCCCATGGTTCCAATGAAATTCAGATACATTTTCTGTATATTCATCATGCAGTCAACCAACACATAAAGTAGGAACTGACACCCTAAAGTGTTTCTAAATGGAACACCACCCAAATATACGGTCCTGTGACTGCAGGTAAAAAGTACAAATCAGGATATCCCTTAATAAATGTAATACTTATGAATGAAAATATTTTCTTTGAAAATAATATAAAATTTCTTATTTTTATTTAATGGCAATTTCTTCCTTTAACTCTGTGTTTATCTGAAAGAGACTAGTTCAGTGTCATCTGTAACAGGATCTCAGCTTTTGCATTGATCATGTAATAAAGAAGTTGAACCTGTCATTTGCTGAATTTAATTGCTATTTTTGAAATAAAAATAAGGAGTTATATCCTGTTGTTGTTTTTGTTTGTCAATAACTGGTTAGGAAGAGTTTCCTGGCTAAGCAATTAAGCTAATACCATAGTAATTTCTTAAATTATAGATTGGTATCCAAGATCTACTGAAGAAAATTGATGGTCATGAAGACTTATTGACTAACCAAGACCAACTATTCTATCCAGCTTATAAAATCTCCAGAATAAGGCAGGCAAGATAATTTAAATATTATTTGACAAAATATAATTTGATCCTGATTTTCAAGTCATTTAAAATACTGTAACTGGTTTTACTGTGTACATAAAAATGAAAGTCATTCTATAAGAAATCCAAAGGTAAAGCAAAATATATACATATTTCATTGTTCTTTTTCCATGTGCAATTTACTAAAAATAATTAGCTCATGTTCCTTATGAAAAATAATTTAAAAATAAATTTTTTTCACTGTTAATACCACTATCTTCCTATTACTCCTACTGACCACATTCTACACTCAACCATTGATATTTACTCCTCTTCCCCCAGTACCAGCTCTCACTCACTCAATCACAGTTGTTCCTAAATAAGTAGCATATCATAGTCAAAATGCATATTCTCTCAGCTTTCTTTAGTATAGAAATGACTAGAAGGGAATGTAGATATCAAAGCTATCAATGAATTTACTGATTGGAAAATACTGTTGCAAATTTAACACAAGTAAGACAATGATAAATTACCAAGAAATAGACCCAGTGATTTTTATGTTCAAACAGAGTGATAACCTAAATTAATTAGTTGATTTAGAGAAATTTAATCTTTTCCTCTCATTTAACAGAAATTTCCAGGACCAAGAGCAAAGTAATCATCAATGTTGCCATTTTAAGATTTTTAAAAGCTAATGGTTTAAAAAGAAAATTAAAACAACATGTTGGAGTAAAAATTCAAAGTTAAAAAATTATCAGAATAAAATTATAAAAAGTTAAGTGTGAAACCTAAAGTAGATTTAATTATATTTTTGATCATATATCACTTTTTAAAAGTTGAAAACATGACTGTAATACAAATATAGTGTTAACTGAAGAAAAACACATAACCTAAAAGTTGCAATTTATGTGTTATTCAGAGAGTACTTACTGCATACTATAGTCTGGGAGACAGGCTTTCAGACGGCTCTGAGGAATCGCTTCAAAGAAGAGGGAGGAGCCAGGATACATTGGCGTTTTTGCTAGAAAAAAAAATGTAGTCAAACCCCAGAAGATTATTGCCGATCACAAAAGACAGACATTTCAAGTTAATGACTTTGTTGCTTTTCTATGTATGAGTAGAAGCAAGAGTTTGGGCTCATTGAAATTATTCCTTAGATATGCATCTTAACTATCTAGGGCCAGTATCCTGTTTTCCTCCATCCTGAACTGCCCCCAGGCCTCACCGTCCTGGTGGCTGCTGTGCCTAAGGGCTTGATGGTGGGCAACACTTACTGTTTATCAGAATGGCAGGCAGTATTTTTTTTGTCTGCAAAAGAATAAACATGTGTCAAAGATTTTCTTAGCTCATTAATTAAGGAAACAAGATGTTAAATCTGGTTCCAGAGTCAGAAATACCAAAAATTACCAGTCCAGATCTCAAAAACTTGTTCTTTTTAGTGGATGTAAAGTATGTTCCAATTTCATTTGAACTCACAAATATACAAACAGACACAAAATAAATGATCCCCAAATATTATCCCTGGATCATAAAATAAAATAAAATAAAATAAAATAAAATAAAATAAAATAAAATAAAATAAAAGGAGACTGGTCTTATTTCATTTTGACATGTGAGTATAGCAGGAGGAGATAATTAACTATAAGCCTCCTCGCTGAGGTCAGCTCCTCTACAGCCAAATAGCATTGAACAACAATCCAGGCCAGAAAATTAACTTTTGTAAAAATTTCATAAAGAATCTCAGATTGGGAGTTGGGCCCCCTGTCGTCCGCCGTTCAGCCCGGCCCAGCCCAGCCAGTATGTCCTTCCACTTCAGCTCCCTCTCCGCCGCCTTCCCGGGGCGCGGCACCCAGGTGTGCCTGAGCTCGATGTGCCCCGGCGGCTTCGGCGGCGGCGGCGGCGGCGGTGGCGGCGGCGGCGGCAGCAGCCTGGGCGCCTTGCGGCCGCGCGTGGCCATGCACTCATCCTACGGGGGCCCCGTGGGCGCCGGCATCTGTGAGGTCACCATCAATCAGAGCCTGCTGACCCCGCTGCAGGTGGACATCGACCCCTCCATCCAGCAGGTGCCCCAGGAGGAGCGCGAGCAGATCAAGACCCTCAACAACACGTTCGCCTCCTTCACCTACAAGGTATGGTTCCTGGAGCTGCAGAACAAGCTGCTGGAGACCAAGTGGGCGCTGCTTCAGGAGCAGAAGTCGACCGAGAGCAGCCGCCTCCCGGGCATCTTTGAGGCCCACATTGCCTGCCTGCGGAAGCAGCTTGAGACGCTGCAGCTGGATGGGGGCCGCCTGGAGGTGGAGCTTCGGAACATGCAGGACATCGTGGAAGACTTCAAGAATAAGTATGAAGATGAAATTAACCATCGCATGGCTGCTCAGAATGAGTTCCTGGGGTTGAAGAAGGGTGTAGATGTTGCCTACATGAACAAGGTGGAATTGGAGGCCAAGGTGGACCCCTTGAAAGACAAGATCAACTTCCTCAGGACTCTCTACGAGGAGGAGTTGAAAGAGCTGCAGTCCGAGGTCTCAGACATGTCCGTGGTCCTGTCCATGGACAACAGCCGCTTCCTGGACCTGGAGGGCATCATCGCCGAGGTCAAGGCCCAGTATGAGGAGATCGCCAACCGCAGCCGGGCGGAGGCCGAGACCTTGTACCAGACCAAGTTTGAGACCCCCAGGCCCAGGCTGGGAAGCACGGGGATGAACTCCGGAATACCCGAAATGAGATTGCGGAGATGAACCGGGCTGTCCAGAGGCTGCAGGCTGAAATCGACAGCATCAAGAACCAGCGTGCCAAGTTGGAGGCTGCCATCTCTGAGGCTGAGGAGCATGGGGAGCTGGCACTCAAGGATGCATGCACCAAGCGGGAAGACCTGGAGGCTGCCCTGCAACGAGCCAAGCAGGACATGGCCCGGAAGCTCCGGGAGTACCAGGAGCTGATGAATATCAAGCTGGCCCTGGACATCGGGATTGCCACCTACCACAAGTTGCTGGAGGGCGAGGAGAGCAGGTTGACTGGAGATGGAGTGGGAGCCATGAACATCTCTGTGGTGAATTCCACCAGCAGTGCTGGCAGTCAGATGACCTTCGGGGGAACCATGGGCAGCAATGCCCTTAGATTCTCCAGTGGCGGAGGGCCCGGAGCCCTCAAGGCCTATTCCATTAGGACCACATCTGCCACTGGCAGGAGCACCCTCAACTGAGCCCCGGGCATGGGAGACTCTTATCCCCACCCCATAGTTACAAGACAACTCCCATCCCTGGTCCCAAGACTGCAAGGCAGTCTGAAAAATGATGTCAGAATAGCTTCCAATAAAGCAGCCTCTTTCTGAGGCCTGCGTCAGCCCCCCACCAAAGAATCTCAGATTGTATTTTCAATAGCCTCTATTATTGCAGATACAATTTTTAAAATGCTTTTATTGACTGTTTTATTTGAGACTAAGAAAAAAAAATCAAGAAATTCACCTCAACAAAGTTCACCTGTTAAGATCTATAAATTTGGGTAAATTCTTCTTGCTTCAAGGTCCCTAAAATACAATGAGCTATTTGGTCTACCAAGGAGTGACATAATTTACAGCCTGAAAGCTCTAAAATGAATATCAGGCCAATATTCTGGGACTGTTTTATGAGTATTGGTTTCACCTTTGGTCTTCTCTAGTGGGCTGTTAATATTTCAGGATACAGACTTAACAGGTGTAGAATATGGATCATAAACTGTCACCACTTAGACTGTCAGATGGTACTGAAAGACTGAGTCTGGAATTTCGATACTCTTTTTAGCTCTGAAGAGGACAACTTCACAAAAGCAGACTGTGGCCTAATTTCATGCTCAATACTCCCTCTCTATCCTTATCTAAATGATATTTTCAGAGCAGTCAGAGTCATTAAAAAATACTAGTGTGGGAGATTTTTACACATCATTTCACATCGTTCTTAAACTTCTCTCTACCTCATGGAAGATGCTGGGTTTGAGTATGAACCTCTTTCCCAATTCACAGCTTCCCTCCCCCAGCCTTTTTCTGTCACCCCCACAAAAGACTTTAAAAGAGAAAAAAGGAGTTAAAGATTTAGCTACCCACCATTTTCTTTTCCTTTGAATTCTTGCTGCCAGTCATAGCAAAACATTATTTTCTTTTGAAAAACCAACCAGGTAATAACAATTTCTGTTCTGGACAAGCTTCTTTGTTAAAAGAAGGAAACGTTGTTCCTCAAGTTCCTGTCTTATAGTCCATCATTCTCTTCTTGTCCCTGTCTCTCATTTTTGATTCACAATTGTATTGTCCCTCCTCATCATCCACAAAGTACACAGTTCCCTGCATTAGAAGAGAACAAATACTGCTGTATTATTTTTAAGGGCTTTAAAGATGTTTGAATTGCTCATATTTACTGATAGCCCACAAGGTCAGAGGTGCTTCATAAAAGGTGTCATTTCTGTTCCCAAAGATGATGGTATTAATTGCTCTCAGTAATTAATTTACTGTCCAGACAACAGTAAATTATTACTCAGTGCTGATGAAATTACACAAATCCACTTACAGTTTTATATTCTATATTTTTATGATTGCTATCCAAAATTCACTGTGAAGTAAGAGATCATGAAACAAAGTAGTCCAGGAGAGGTAGAATCTGTAGCCTACTCAAATACATGCAGCACTGGATGTGTTCGTTGTCTTTCCCCAGAAAAGTATATTTCAAATAACTCTGCCTAGGAGATTTTTTTTTTAAATTGAAGTATAGTTGGTTTACAATGTTGTATTAATTTCTGTTATACAGTATAGTAATTCAGTTTTTAATATATATATATGTAATTTTTCATATTCCTTATATTACAGGCTATTACAAGGTATACAGTAGGGCCTTGCTGTTTATCTGGTTTATTTATAGTAGTTAGTATCTGCAAATCACAAACTCGCAATTTATCCCTTCACTGTCCCTCTTCTTTCCCCCTGGTAACCATAAGTTTGTTTTCTATGGTCTGTGAGCCTATTTTGTAAATAAGTTCATT